GGTCACCAAGCTTTATGAGCTGCTGGGAGTAGACACCGGTCTTTTGACAGCCAAGTGGTCTAAGCTGGAGCTTATGAGAGTTTGTGCTTTGACTCTGTAGTGTAGTGGATTCAGCAGAGACCTCATGACAGAACTCAGGACATCTTCTGAAGCACTTAAAATCTGCAAAACACAAGGCTGTTTCCATGAAACTTACTGCTTGCTAATGCAAGAAATTCCAGAAACACAGTAGAAAAAGCAGCTTAGGACACTAACTTATATAGTCTAAATAGGAATCTGCTTCCAATGCCATTCATTAGTAAAAAAAATATATATATAAAGGAAGCATGCAGTCATGGATTCATGGTGCTGCAAATTGAGGGAACTCAACAGAAAGGGGGAAATGTGTGATAGAGATGGGAAAAAAAAAAAAAACCAATGTAAACTGCAAGCCTTAGTCTCTTCTTCTTCCTACAGGTTAAAACAAAGAGCAACCAGAATGCTACTGAAGGAAATGAACACTCCAAAACGTAAAGAAAAGACAAAAAAAAAAAAAAGATTTCAAGGTCTCTAAAGATAGATTTAGACAACTACATTGAAATTGCATTCCACAGCAGACAAGTTCCACACTTTGCTCCAAAAAGGGTAAAGAAATTGCAGTCTCAGGAAGCAGAGCATGGTTTCTCTGGATGGTCTGATCTCCAGACCATATCTTGCACTTGATCTCAAAGACAAATCTCTTTAAAAGAATTCATCAAGGGGAAAACACACAAAAATAATTTGTCCATTTTACAAACACTCAACTAAAGTAATTATATACAGAACGTAATTCTAGTCACTACAGATGAAAATATCTTGGAACTGACTGTGTTCTGCTCAAATTCAATTCTAAGATGCAATAATAACCTACCCAAAATAATTAAATTGGACATGAGGGTGTATAGGACTGAGGATGTGACTCACACTGTCTTACACATCACAGTAACAGATATGTACAGTTGTTTAAAAAATCAGTGAAAAAAGCATCATAAAACATGATAAAAAGAAAGATTTTTTGTGGAAATTAAATCAGAAAAATGGAGCAATGAAGACACTAAGAAGTGAATGGCCCACTAAGCACTACCTAGAACTGTCCAGCAGGTCACTTGCAGGAATCCCTAATGTTGGGCCAGCTCTTCATTACCTTTCCCAGATTTCCCAAAAACAAGGAATCACGCTAGAGAGCACAAAGTCACTAGTGAACAAAAAGCAGTAGAAATACACTTCAGAAACAGAAATCACGCTGCTCATGAGAGAAAACTGGTGTTTTTAAGTGTCTGAATTTCAGAATGTACAAGTGACACTACCAGAGGGTTGAGGTAGGTGATCCTCCTTTATTCAGCCACACCTCAAGACCTGTGTCCAGTGCTGGGTTCTTCACTACAAGAAAGACAAGAACATACTGCAGAGAGTCCAGCAAAGGCCATGAAGGTAATGATGGGACTAGAACATATCTCCCACAAAGAAAGTTTGAGAGAGCTGTGACTGTTCAGCTCTCACTTCTGGAGAAGAGAAGGCTCAAGGGGACCTTATCAATGCAAAGCACCCAAAGGCAGGGTACAAGAAGAATAAAGCCTCTTTATGCTCACTTGGTTGCAGTTCAGAGCTCCCTCTGGCTCTGTGCAAAACACATGGGAGATTTGCCAGAGTGGAATGGGAGTTCAGTGCCTTTACACAGCCTCCCTGTGTGTTCCCCCACCCTGCTGTTATGTAAGAAACTGAGCTAAACTTTGAATATTACACAACCTCAAAATGGGAAGGGACTAGTAAAATATGTCCACAACTCCTTCATGCTGACTCACCTCTTCCTTTCCACTTAAGGTTATTACCCACATTTAGGAGTACAATGCCTGCAATGGTCATTTCTTGTCTTTTAAGCATGTTCTAGACACAGTGAGATATTTCACCACTGTGAACAGAATATCACACAGGGTCTGGAGACAAGACTTTTTAGTATGACCTGTAGCAATAGGGTCGTGGTTTTAAACTGAAAGAGAGTAGATTTAGTCTAGAGATAAGGAAAAAATGTTTTACAATGAGGATGGTGACACACTGGAACAGGTTGCCCAGAGAGCTGGCAGATGCCCTATTCCCTGAGTTGGATGGGGTTCTGAGCAACGTGATCTAGTTGAAAATGTCTCTGCTTACTGCAGAGGGAGGTTGAGCTAGGTGGCCTTTAGAGGTCCCTTCCAACCAAAGTATTCCATGACTTTAAGCAGGACAACAGTGCCAGGAAGAAGACTGCAGTCTTCCCCCACAGCTCTGCTGCAGTCATTGCTGAAGTCATTGCAGCAGTGCACTTCCAGTACCTGTAGCCACACTGACCTCTCATGAATTTCTTACTATGGATCTAAGCCGCTCACCCCATCACCAACCTAGAAAAATAACCCAGAATGATTATGATCATTCCACAAAAGAAGCAGCAGTAGTGTTCCAGCTTGCTTGGAACAAGTAGGTTAGATGGGAGTGGAAAAACGACGGACTTAAACAATTACATTTAGAGTAATTGCCTAAAACGACTGAGTTAAGCTTTTGCATACACATTCTACAAGCATTGTCCTATGGCTAGCATCATATTAAACAACAAAAAAGCATTCTAGGCAGGACATCAGCCCACGCCATATTCTCTGACCTAGAAGGACACGTGGAAATGTACCCCTGGCTTAGGCTGGGTAAAAAGATTGTCATAGATCTAGACACTTAGAATCCTCATTATGCTGTAAAAGTCATTTACCCAATGACAGCCTTTCTCCAGCAGAGTTAATGTTGTAGCAAAATACACTTGTGTATCAACTCAGTGATAACTTCATATCTTGTAATAGAATATATATGTGATCTTGAAGGATATGCTGTTATGCTGAAGGATATCACCACACTTAAAAGTAGAAAACATTGAGCATGAACAGAAATTGCCTGGTCTAGCATTACTTACCTAAAATACAATGCATGAGTGGAAATTGCTAATTTTAATGTTAGATATTTAACACGTGGTTGTAAAACTTGCACAGACTGTAATTTATCAACTACAGCAACATATTGAAAATATACTGCACATTATCACTTATTTATGTTCACTAAGAAAACTCAAATTCACAACAAGAGATTTTCCATAGTTCCTGGCTCTAGAAGTTCATCTGCAAAAATAATTTTACATAAAATGTATTGTCATACTATGCCATTTTAAATACTGGATGAAATTCTCAATTCATGCAAGAAATCTGACATCCAATTCAACTTCATCTTATGACCTCACTCAGTAGGTCTGTGTCAGCAGTTTCTTCTCTGACAAAAACTCTCATCTGAACCAAGCCAAATATTTTTGATGACATTATTTCTAAAAATTAAAACCACAAAATCCATTGTTTTAGTGGTGTCCTAATACAAGTAAAATAAATCTTTACAATAAGAGTTCTAGTTTCCAAACTGTGCAGTTACTAATAATGATCAAATTATTACCATCATATTAATTTTGACTGAGATGGACAGTGAAAAATTAGGAACGTGATGCTTTAAGATTAACGCTTAAATAAGATATGCCCACTGGTACAGACCAGCTCTATAGCTATACTAGGGCAAAAGGAGTGGAAAGAGCTACCCAAGACTTAAAATAGTTCTTGAAATTTATGGTCCGATTACTAATGTCATAAGAAAACGTAAATAAGTTCTGACTAAACCATTCTGCATAAATTCAGATATGCATGTAATTTTTCAGCATTCCATATCAAGTTATCTTTGTGCACTATACAGAGGACAGTCTTAAAAGTACTACTTCCATTAACACATTATATATAAATAATGTGTTATAAATAACACATAACACATTTCTCTGGTTTGTACTGGTAAAGTGAGTACCCATGAAAACTTTGCAAAAGTGCAATGACTGCTTCACCAAGCTATACAGAGGCAGCTTCCTTTAAGTGAGATTCATTCCTAGATTTACAGCACAAAATTGATTTTGGAAGTAATTTAGTGTCAGTTCCCCTGTGAATCCTAGCTCAGCATAGATAAAGTAAATTAAAAAACCAAAATAAAACACCCCACAAACCTAAAGAACTGGACCTGACTGCGCCCTCAGAATGTCAGCTGGCATAAAAACATCTCAATTGCTCCACAGCACTCACTATAACTCAGAAGGAATAAAGTATCAGTTATCAGTCCAAAGAAAGCAATCACACATGAACATTTATCTCCACAGTCTTCTTGAAGAAGAATGTCCAATTCAGGCAATCCAAAAGCATTTACTCCCATTGGAAGAAAAAGGCTGCCACTAATATTCAACCTAATACTCTGCTTTTGTAACAATACAGCCAGCCAGTACAGTGATTTTTTAGCTGAATCTGCACTATGTACTCCCAGAGAACCCAACTGTATGTTATTCCAGTCTGTCTCTACAGGTTTCAGTTGCCATTCTAGACCAACTTAAGTGCAATCCTAAAATTGTATCACCTCACTGGTATATCACATCAAGTCATGAATATATCTCTTAATATAAAAAAAAAAAAAAAAGCAGAAATTTTAGAAACTTTTTTTTTAACTTGATTTTTTCTAACTTTGAAAAAGGCAGTCACAGAAATGTGTTCTCATTGAAAAAGAGAGGTGGCAAAAGTTCAATACAATTTGTGCCCCTTCTGTATTAAGGTCTAGAAATCTGGCTGAAACTTCTTTTATAAAAGAATTTCCAAAAATCACATGGATTTTATTGATTTATTTATGGATTTTTTAATGGATTTATTTATTATTGGTTTTCACTTATAGAAGACTTTGAAAAAAGTTCCCATTATCTTTTTCTCAACAGTGGAGAAAATTAAATATGTATTAAATACTGTCACACATAATAATCATGCCATTTCATATTCACTGGTACCCTCATAAATGAAACATGAGCTATGCTGGAGAGAATTGTCACCTTGGGAGAAAAAAAGACCATTTGCTTACCAAATATAAATAAAAGAGAAAGTACAGAAAAGAACACTATTTCTTACCATTGTAAGAGTGAATGGATGGCTTTCCAGGGCAGACACTCTCGGACAGTGGAGAATAACATACTGAAATAAAATGGTAGAAAGGATACATTCAAAACATTCAGCAATGGGCTAGCACTTATAAAGTGATGGTCATCCCCACAGATAATGTTACATGAAAGCAAAGTGGTTCTTTAGGGCCACATTAGCTCACCTGACCAGGCCTTGCTTCAAAGTCATCTTTCACCATCCTGACTTCAAGGACGTTGGAGGGGTGGCTTATCACTGAGGTGATTGTGACTGGCTTGTTGCTGCGGATGTAGCGGTACAGCCGCTCCACACAGTACAGGCACAGCGGTCCAGAAATCCAGAACCAGGTCTAAGGCAGAACAAAAATATCTTATCTCATAGACTTTTAACTTTCTGTCTTCAATTTTCACAACAACATGAGCTCTTTCAAGATCTCACTTCACATCTAACATCCATTCTCTCTCTACATGCAGAAACCCAAGAATGTTCCAAAGCCTTAATCAGTCTAACCAGCAGCATCACCCACAAGCACCAGCAATTTCAATCCTAAAACTCATCAGTAAAAGAATGCTAATGACCTCATTTGCTACCATGTTATTCTGGTTTGATGTAGTTAGATTGCAGCTGGTTTCAGCAAAGAAAGAAACAGTACCTACACAGACCAGAGTACTATACAATTGGTTAACATTTCCGGAAAAACGCTGTCTGACTTCCAATATTATCCTATAGCCATCTCAGATTCAAGTAAAAACCTAAGAAAACTTCATTCTTGTGCTATAGAAATTATGTTGATATTAAACTAGTGCAAAATCATAGACAACAGAGAATGGGCACTTCTGAATCACAATCCATTTCCTCCCAAGGAAGATGTGTATGCTAGACAGAAAATGCCCTGGAAACACCCATTTCTCTGCACTGATTATATGGGGAGTCCTGGGTGAATGCTCCAGATAGAGACATTTGCAGCTGCTCAGCTAAACCCCATCCTAAGAGTCAATTACCAATAGCTTATGGCAGACTTATCTACTAATTCCACATCTGCTCAGTCATTCAAGCTGTGGCACTTAAGTGCCCCTCAAGCCTCATCCATCTTCCCTCCCTTCCCAGTTTCTGACATTACACATCAATATCTCTTGCAAATAGCAGAGCATTTATTTTCAACAAAAAAAAGCCTTACAAGTTTCAGTAGCTCAGTTTTGGTTTTTTTTTCAACTTGATATCACAGTATTTCAAAATCCAAAAATGTCCTAAATAGTGTTTCAAAGCTGTCAGGAGAACACTGAGTGGCCATTTCTTTCCATGACTCCTTTCCCATTAATGGCTCTAAAGCAAGCATCTTAAGCCCCTAAGAAGACTCCTTGCTGCCCTGAGGGTCATGTGGAGCCAGATACACACTGATGGTTATAATTCAAGAATATTACCACAACAAAATACCAATCCAAAGAGCTTTGTTGGAGGAATTCAATGTAGAATTAACTGCTTCTCATTCCATAGAAAAATGAGTTCCCAGTGCAGCTAGTAAGGGGGATACATGTTCAACAGAAAACAACAATGATAATAACAAAGAAAAACTCCTGTGGGGTCTGTTATGGGACCATTTTGAATGGTGGGCCTTGGACTCATGAACTCCATATTTGCAAGCTTCCTCAGGCTACTTGCCAATACAACCCAGCTCATCTTCTCTCAAAAGAAAAGAAAAAATTCTATAAAGAAAAAGCTGCTGCCACAAAACATAAAGAAACAAAAGGAAAATGGAAAACTGAAAAAAGAAAAGGCTTTTCTGTCTCTACTCTCATCATACTTATTTGTCCATGCCACACATAAAACAAGCCTGTCTGCAAATAACAGACTATAAAAGCCAAACCACAACCAACTGCAGAAATACGTATTAGGACTTGCATCCGCATGGTAAAAAAGAGAACAAATGGAGCTTGATTATTTCAATTAACTACTGCCACACAATGCTTACAAAAGGACCTTACAAAATGTTATATAAATGTTTGCTCTGAAATGCTATGCTGTAAAATCACATTTTTAGTAGGATCAATACATCCCTTATGGTGTTGTTCAAAAAAGAACATTACAGCCAATCTCTTGACATTTTTCCACCCTCCCTGTTCCATGCACCACATTGTAATGTACTTCAGGGTTAAATACAGATTGTTTTTTCCCCACCAAATCTTTGAATGCCTCAAAAGGTTTTAATAATATTTTCCAGTATTAAAACATCTGGTCTGGAAAAGCAATAATTAATGGGCTGACTGAAAGGCTTGGCATGGCTTTAATACCTGAAATGTCGGATCATACAGACCTCTGGGAAGTGCGACTGGAACTTGGGTTCCTCAGAACAAACTCTCGTAAAGCTATTTTGTACAAAGGGTTCTGGTACTGGTGGGTCCTCTGGGAAAGGCTCAGTAGTATAGTCTGGAAACAGCTCTCCAAAAGCCTTTGGCACAGTCAGATTCTGTTGGAGTGTTTTGTTAGGATTAAAGCAACCAGGAGGGTGTTCCTCTAAGTTGGTCTGGTACTTGAGCACACCCCTACAGGAAAATAAAAAAAAAAATAAAGACTCTGAAGTAACAGAAAATAACAAACAACTTATCTTCATTCAGAGAGGACTTCAGAAAGCAGTCACAAGCCTCATCTCCTGTTAGAAATTTTATTCTGTTTGCCTTCAGGACTTTCTATGAGATTGAAACTTTGCAACAATAGAGCCTTCTGTCACTTGAGTCAAGGTTTAACTTTTTCAGCTTACTTGGCACTCCCCCACTGAACAGCCTCAAGTTTAATACTGCTTGAAATGGAGAAAATATTGTGGGGGCCTTGAAAAAAAAATTTAATAATCGCATTTCCAATTCAATCACACACAGGCTGTTTTCACTCATCCTCCCTACAATCAGCAAGCCCTGTTTTTAAGGCAGTCTTGTAGCAGAAGTAGCCTAAGTTGCCAAATCATAAACTGCAGGAATGTTCCCACTACTTGGTGTTTATCATGTTTGCATACAAATAGAAGGAAAAAAGAAAGTCCTGCATGGTAGCCAAGGAATCTTCCTTGGAAATTATTTTATGAGGTCCATCCTTATTTTAGTTTTTCTCAAGCTAAGTTAAATTTACAGTAAAATGAAGTGAGAACTTTGAAGCTGCAGTTAAAAACCTTGAAGAAAGAATTGGGAACCTCAGACACTCTGCCAGTACATGAACAAATCACTGAAAACAGGGAAGAATAGATAATACTAATAAAATTCCTCAAAAGTACTACTTGTGTCCAAATCTAGATTTGGTTACAGTAAAACCACAAGGAAGAATATATTGAAAAAAAAAAGCTAAATGACACCTGTAGAGGATGGTGCTGGGTGGGAAATTAGGCATACAGAGACAATGCTCTCTGAGTCCTAAGCCTTGTTATGAAGGCTCAGCTCAAGCATACAATCAAACATAAGGACAGGTGCTCCCCCCTCCTCTCCTCAATATACGCACAGCAGCAGCAACAGAGTTTAACTCAGAAGAAAGAGAGCCAGGACATCTGCAATATTCCCAACCTAAATGGGCTCTGACAGGCTACTGGCAATCTTCCCTACAAAAATGCAGTCCTGACAGCTAGTAACAAGCTTCCTACATGGTCTAGTGAATCATGTCAGCTTGGAAGTTAAGCCTGCTCACTCTTAAATTCCATCTGACCCTGGGAGAATCATTTGGGAAGTGTCCTTGCACCCACACCCATGCTTCTGCTTGCATTTATTGCTCAATCATGCCTATCACTTGCATCTGGTATCACTGCTGGTCACCGCATATTGGCAAAGTAACCAATACCCCCAGCATTATGCTAGTTCCCTGCTCCATAAATATTATGGTGCTTCATGGATTTAGCTAGAAGTCAAAGCCCATGCAGTATTTTTCCAGTGAACCTTGTGTGCATGCCTGCCAGCAACTCCCACAGCTTCTCTCTGGTCAGCACACCCCCAAAGAGGATTACCTTGAGAGTAGCTGCAAATATGAGTATCCCCTCCAGTGATCTCTAGTTTATTTAACCTATTATAAACATGCTAACTGAGAGGCAGACAGGGATCACAAAGCTGCCTGTTAACAGCAGCTCAATAACTCCCAATTCTGAAGCTGCCAAGGAAAAGTAAGTCTTACATACCCAAGATCAGTGCCTAGAAAGGTTGAGTTCTGCACTGAACAAACATATGACAGACGAATCACATCACTTTATATATTGCTGAGAAGTGGTTGGCCGCCTGAAAGATACTCTAAAAACATACCTGCAACAGTTTGAAACAAAGCAAGAATCCAGCAATACTTTACTCCTAAGAGGTAAAACCTCAATCAACCTGCCTATGCAGTTCAGCCATGGGAAATGCCTTGCTCTGTACAGTAATGGCTATGCATTTGCAAATCTCAAAGACGTCCCACACAGGAGTAATCTGGGAATCTAAGCTTCCTTTATTCTCAAAAGAGATTACAGAATTGTTTAGGTTAGAAAAGACCTGTAAGATCATGAAGTCCAACCATTAACCCACTACCATGTTCACCACTAAACTACATCCCTAAGCACCACATCTACACATCTCTTCAATACTCCCAGGGATGGTGACTTTATTGCTTCCCTGGACAGCTTGTTCCAGTGCCTGGCAACCCTTTGGTGAAGAAATTTTTCCTAATGGAAAATCTAAATCACCCCTCATGCAACTTTTGGCCACATCCTATTGATCTTGTTAATATCACTAATGGAGCCAGGAATCAGTCCAGCTCACCTGAATGTAGATCTCTGAAACAGCAAATTACATGAAGCATCCTTCAGGCTCCATTGGCTGTATTTATCAGAACTCATTAGACCATAATGGGAAAGACACTGAGAAAACATGTAGAGACCTACATTTAGGCATCTCAAAGTTGAACTGACTCCCACTCTCCGTGACTCATTCCTCTCCCACTTCTGACACTCAGTTCTTTGCACTGAATACCTTTGTAATTTAATACTAAGGAGGCTGTGTGCCAGAAATATGCCTGTTCAATACTTGCTGTACTACTGCAGCCTTGGTTTGCAAACTTGGTAAATGGAACATGGTTAGGAAAACAATGGGCAAAGGATAACACCGTGAAGGAGATTAATTAAACTGGACATGAAAAATACCCCTAAGGCAATCACTGGAACAGACTGCCTAGGGAGGTTACAGGATCTCAGTCACCAGATGTTTTAAAGAATTTGACAAACATCTGTCAAGAATAATTTCGAAAAAATTCATCTTGGCCTCGGATGGGGAGAACAGGTTAGATCCATTTTCCCTAGCCATAAACAAGCTCTATGCCATTGAAAAAAAAAAAAACCAAACCAACAAAAAACCAACAAAACCAAAAAACCCAAACAAGCCCCCAAAACAAACAATAACTCAAAAAAACCAACAAACTCAGAGAACTGGAATTGTGTCTAGAAGTTTCAATTGCTTTGAACTCATGATTTCTTTAACAGCACATTTTATTCAACAACTTATTCCTACAACGATCTTGCTAGGCCTATTGCCTCTCCAAGTTTACTTTAAGCAGAAGGGCGTACTGTCACACACTCAAGCACCCTGTGTTTCAGTAGATATAGAAATAAACCTCATTCATTTGATGACATTCAAAGAAATAAACCTTCCCTTCTCTACACTCTGCATCTACAAATAAAACTTCAGAGATGTTAATGGAACAGATTTTCACAGAATGATAGAATAGCTTGTGTTGGAAGGAACTTTTAAAGGTCACTTAGTCCAACCCCCAACCCATGCAGACATATGTCGTAACTTCTGGAAGATGCTTTACCTTGCAACAGAGCTCAGTTTGTTTGTGCCTGATACAGACCTCAGCATCAGCTTCATGGCACATAAACACTGGTCTGATGTTTGTGAAAAGAAGAAAAACTAGGAAATTTTGTAAGCAAAGAGAAAGAGGTAATTAGGGAGACGCCATTCCTTCCCTCTCCTTTGGAGTCAAAAAGGAAGGCAGAAAGGAAAATGCAAGGGATGAGCAACTTTCCTTCATATTCTTGTCTCAGCAAACAGCTAAGAGAGGGCAGAAAAAGAAACTATGTTTTCTTGATTTCTCACTAGACACTGAATGGAAAAGGAATAATCTTGAAAGTGAAAAACTTTGTGCAAGTTGGCTATAGCACACACAAACCTCCAAGCTACAGCCTGGTCTTTATTTAAACACACACCAGAGGACAACGTCTTGTCCCAGAGTTGGCCCACTGTGCTCAAGCAAGCTTAGGAAAGGCAGTAATCAAGGAAACTGCTCTTTCTGGTTGTGCTTCAGGAAAAGGAAGGGTATTTTCCATTTACTTACCCAGAAACATGCAGCATCAGCAGCATATAGAAGACAAAGAAAAGGTTGTGTGTATACCAGAAGATGTCATAGTTTGAAACCCTGAAAAGAATAAACCATGGTTCAATGCTGTTTCAACTCAGATGCAATCACTCCTAATTAAAAGCAGACCTGTGCACACAGGACATCATTATACACTGCACAGTTATGCAAAATAGTCAAAGCCCAGAATGTTTTCCCACAGGCACACTGTACTTGCACACAATTAAGTGTTGAGAAGAACAAGTGACTGGCACAGAAGTAACAAGCTGAGAAGGAGAGGTAAGGGTGTAGAAGTACAGAGCCAGATGGAGAACTCTTCTGAAACTGGGAGACTTGACTGCTTTCACAGGTCCTAGTTAGTCCTCACGAGATCCTTACAGCTGCAGTCTCAAAACTCAACCTCCTTACAGGGAGTGTCACCTTACATTCTCCCAGCACAATACAGTTTAACGTGTCACTGAGGCTGCAGCACACAAACAGGTAGCATGGACAGCAGCAGAAGGGCCAGTGGAAAGGGTAAAAACCTTGTGAGGGTATGGAGTGGCAGGAAGAAGGTACAGGAAGAATAGGACCTAGAGCAAGGAAACAACAAGAGCACAGTAGAAGAATTTTCAGGGCAGGAAGCCACATACATTACTGCTCCAGGACTGATAGTCTTGGGAGGAACAAGAAGAACATTGTAAGATCAGGAGAGGTGAAGGCGACTTCCTTTTATCAGTAATTTGTTAGACAATATAAAAAGAGCCCAGACCAAAGCAAATACCCATCCAGAACTGTTTTCTGTTAAGCTTGTTTGGGTGGTTTTTTTGAGTAAAATAGTTACCAATAAACAACAATCAAATGGCTAAGAAAATACACTACTTCACAGCACACAAACACACCTCTCACACTACACAGCGTGGTAGGAGAGTTCCTTCTAAAACCAAAGAACCTACCCCCATTCATAAACTGAAACAATTATTAAATAAAAAATATTTTTAGCTCTGAGAACATGGTTTAAGAAGCTATTCCTCTGACACAGCTAACTTCTTTTTTTTCCAGAGCTTTTTCCCTCCTATGGTCTTCTACTCAACCAGCTAACTGCTCTTCCTTCAATACAACTGAAATATTTACTGCATTTGGTTCTGTTGTTACAGGACTTATTTGTTTTCTTTCTCAAGAGAGGAAAAATAACCTTGACAGTCCAAGAGCTACCAAAATAAAATCCAAGCCAGCAAAATAACAAGGAAGGAAGCAAAGGAGGAAAAAAAGGAGGCAAAGGAAGGAATACAGGAACAGCAAGGGGCTCTGAAATCCCCCCTCCACCCTGCCATTCTTCCCCAAGTCAGCTCAATGTTAACACTTTTTTCCTCCTTGAAGCTGCTCAAGCCTTTTCTAACTCCCCACACCCTGGGAGGCATTTTCATGCAGTCACTCATCAATATCTGTGAGGAGTTGTGGGAGTAATCATCAGTAAGAGGAAAAAAAGAAGAATGGTGTGCAGAGTGGAAGCACAATTGGAAAGCACAAAGAGGGTAAAACAGACTTTCTATCTCAAAACAGGTCATAGAATCTTAGAATGGGACCTTAAAGATGGTCTAGGTTAAACCCCCATACCATAAGAAGGGACAAGGACAGGTCTTGGAGCTCTGGTTTAATTTGGTTCCATGCTATAATACCAAAAGCTGCACACTGAATGTTTTATTGGCTCTTTAGCATCTTTTTCAGAATGTATCAATTTTTCAAAATTTCAGTGATGAAAAGTCAATCCCTGGACTGCTTCTGACATGTTGCTTTCAACAGCTAATTATTGCTATTGATTAAAATTACTGTACACTTCTTTCATGAATACGTCTAAATGTCAGCTTCCAGCTCGCTGAGCATTTTATTCTTTCAGCACTCCTACAGATATCTCTAGTATAAAATCCTGCTTCCTCACATGTATCAAGTTGCCCTAAATGTGAGCAGGCCCTCTGAACTTCACCTCCTTAAATTATACAAGTATGTAAATCCTTGAACCTCTTACCATGAAGTGTATTTTCCAACACTGTAATAATTATGTATTTCTTACTTGTATCCTTAAACTACAGATACATACATTAGTATTCTAATATAGTCAATCATCTTCCTATTGATACACATGAATTTTCACAGCTCTTCAGAATATTTACTTTTTTTACCTTCCAAGGGCTTAAAACAGACATTACTCACAGAATGGATGCATTTCTTAGGAATGCAAAGTCCTGAAAATTTGAGGTAAATCAAATATTTAATTTTGGTTAACCTACTTTAGAATTTTGCAGATGAAAAGCAGAAAGAGTTAGTTTACTGAGAAATATACTAGGAATTTATCATGCTTTAAAGGGACACACTAAAAGCAGCACAGTTCTAGAAAAATATTTTTAATCCTGTTAGAGACAGTTTTGAAAAGGAAGATATATGCAGTAGTTTTGAAGATGAAATTGAAGACTAGAATATTTGGTTACAAAAACAGATGGCACTGCAGCACCTTATTTTTTAATGTTATTTTAACTACCTAACTTCCAAATAGTAAATATCATTAATTTTAAAGTTGTCAGGAATGTCAACATTTATTGAGAGGATTTATTATGTTTTCTGATAACTTCATAACCCTACTGAAAACAACTACTGAACAAAAAATGTTGGTCTAATTCTCAGGTAAAACATTGCAAAAAATTTAGAAAATTTTTCAACTAATAACACTTTATCCTCTTAAAATATTAGCAGCTAATTCAGTCCTTCTAATACTTATTTTCACAGTTTACTGAAAAGGCAGGAAAATAGAGGCACAGTCATACACAGAACAATTTCAGGAAGAACATACAAAGGAAGAAATCACTAAGCAGGCCAGTGTGCAAGAGCAGATTAGGGCTGAAATCCAAGACTATAACAGCCTCTGAAATACTTTTTAAAAAGCTCAGTTTCTGATAGACAGTGAACATTTACAATTAGCTTTCCTAAAACTGTACTGTATGCTCAGCCATCATAAGGCACATGAGAATCCACAGGGAAAGAGATTGAAAAGGGACATAGAAATGCATACAGCAACTTGTTTCCTTAGGAGAAAACACCATAATAAAGACAAGCTTGAGCTCTATGCCTGAGGGAGAAGCCAGGATAAAATTTCCAAGTAAGAATTATTGCTAGGGCAACAGGAGATACAGATTATCTCTTTTGGGGCTTTGACTCTGCTAGCTAGATGGCAGAAAGCTGGGAAAATATTTGCACTTACAGTAACTGTGGAAGGAACTAAAAAGCATGTAACTTCAGAAGATGCTGCATGACCCCCAAAATTATTTCCAAGAATATTTACAACTACATATATTTTTCTAAGTATCCCAATCACTAATACATGATGTTTTTCTAATTTAATTTGGGCTTGAAGATGACAGCCAGGACTTTGTTCTGGCTCAATGTTGCAGAATAAAGTAATAATTTTATTTTTCCATGTTCCAAAAACTGTCTTTCTTTTGCAGGAGAGCCATCTGTGTGGACCATGTAATGCGCAGCAGTCTAATCCTGCACTTCAGTAGCCTGCAGTGCCTCACAAAAGTCTCAGGTCTGGAAGAAGCCTTGTCTACTGAAAATGCAGAAGTATTTGCTGAACTACTTTCTCAAATCACAGGATAACACTGCCAGGTAACACAGCTACTCAGGAAAGACAGATTAGTTCAACAAAGTTCATAACCACATATCTAACTCACATCAGTGGAGCACCATTAACATTTGAAGATACATAATTAATACATCCTTCTATGCTTGTTGAACTGAGGTGATGCACTTACATAGGGAATTCAACCTCTGTAAAAATGAAGGAGTTATTTTTACACGTTCAATTGCAGAATCCAAGTCTCAAATTGACTACAACATTGGGCTAGGCCCCCCAGCTATCAGCCACTCACAGGTACTCATTAACATTGGTACAGAATGTCAACCCACCAGAGGACCAGACCACTAGAAAACCCAGCAGCTGCTCCGAGCCAATACTGCATTGCTGCTTGGTATATTATAATTCACATTAAAAAGAATATACCTGACAACCAGAAGCAGAGCTCTTAAAAGCAATGCTCAACTTCAGTAGCAGAGTTTTGTGTCAGTTTATTTCATGGCTGATCGTTTGGGATTTTGGGGTTTTATTTTGGTTTGGCTTTTTTGTTTTTTTTTTTTTTGTTACAATTTGTTGTTACAATTAATTGGTGAAAATAATTAAGATAACAATAACATCTTATTTCTCTTCCACTGGACTTAATTTATGCACTGCACAGAACTTCCCATTTGCTGAGTTCACTGCCTCCCCTACAACCAGGAATAAAAGAACTATTTAAATTTTTAAATGTCCATATTTTTAACTCTGCACACTCATTAAATAGTACTTTTTCAGAAGGCAATTCAATCAGGTCTTGTAATTGTTTTCACACAAAATTCATTGTGCTAATTTTACTGCAAACTAGGGAAAAAATGGACAAGAAAACAGGTATTCTTAACACTCTAGTCAGTAGGAGAATATGATTACAGAAATGGCATTTTTTAGCATAACAATCATATTACATCTTACCTGATGGCATATGTGGAAGCTGTACACATTAGGAATAATACTAACACCATAATGACTCCAGTCAGACCTGGAACTAAAAGGGACATAACTTATATTTGAACTGTGAAGAGGTATACTTGTCTATTATGACCTTTTAAGAAAGTGGAATTAGACATACAAATCATGATTCATTTAAACTCTTGAATAAACTTATCTCTTGAGCACAACTCATGTATCAAACCAGATAGGAAAGAAGAGTTCTTGTCTAATTTCCCACCTTCTCAAAGAAAAATAACCCTTTTCCTTGCCTTTCATCATGCATCACAATTTCCTATTTGTCTTTGCTCCTGTCATCTTTTGCTTGTGACATCTGTGTCTAAGCAGGTAACTAAGAACAAACACTGTTTACGTGCAAGACTGACTGTACAAGCTTCTGTCTCTTTTTTATTCCAAACACTACACTCTGTTGATCATGACAATTAAAAACCTGTTCAGGGACAGAATTTCAAGCAAATCAACTTCTATGCAAGCTGTCACTGCAATTTTTTGCCAGGCCATTTCATTCTGGAATGGGGAAGAGCCTGAAATTACTCTTGATGGCATTGTATCACGCTTGAAATTGTTGCCCATAGAGCAAGGCCTGTGAGAGTGATCTGCAGCCAGCACTTGGGAAAGAAAGGTTAAAAATATTAATGATCTGACTCATCTGCTCAAGTGAAGACTTCTATCAGAACTAATTTATCCTCAGGTCTTTTTTAAGTCAAAGGAGAGAATCTCAAATCTTACCTTTTTATAAACTTCTCAATACTCATTCATTGAAAAGCCTGATACCCAAAATCTGACACACCACAACTCACTCCTCAGTTTTTACAGACCTACATTCAATGGAAGCTTTGTCATGGACTGCATAAAAAAGACTTGATTTCCCTCCTTCATGGAAAGACTGCAGTTAAAAGCAGCTGCAATAAAAAATATGCATTCTGTCCACTGCCTCCTTCTTAATTTCTTTTTTCTCAATCTGATTTGATGTGTAGCATGCAATAAATCTCAACTCTGAACTAATACCTCCAATGCAATTGCAGTACAGCACCTGATTTAGCTTCCTACACTGTCACACAAGCCAGAGGTCACCTTTTATGTCCAGTTTTTCAATTATCTTCTCCATCAGACTGAAATCACTCAGTCTTGCCCCAGTTTATCAGTTCATTTTTAGTGTTTCATTTCTGCCCTGTCCCTGACTCTCCTTTCCTCTACTAAGTATAATCTTTAATACTTGTTCCTCCCACAGTCTGCCTCACACCCTTATACAAGGAGGTTCTTTACTGGGCTAATCTGAAAAGCCATCATCACTCTATAAATCCTTCTGATTCCTTATTCCTTCTGTTTGCGGTTCTGAACTGTCTGGGAAGAAACCAAGGGTTTTTTGCTTATTTGCACAGCTCCCAGTGCAGCAAATTCTTGAGCACTCCTCCATTAAAAATAGTACATGTTAATTACCAGTCATTAGGACAGGGCGTGAACAGAGTAATTTTAAATTTAGGATAACTCTGATCTCAGTTTCTGTCAGTTCATATTCTCCCTTCCTCTTCTCTCAACTGATCTAAACCTTTCCTAGGGTTTTTGGGAAACACTGGCACACCAGCCACTAATTCCAGCACACCTATTGGGATTGACAAACCTAGAACAACTGCTGTCTGTTCATAGATTTGATTTGACTGTGCCCTAAATGCTACCAAGTCAGGATTTTGTGTTTGATCCAAATAAGGGAGAAAGTGCAACGGCATCAGGAAGGAACTTTATCTGCTTATGAAGCGCTACAGCTCAGTCTGGTGCCTGACCCTCCACACCCAAACATTGCTCACTTCTAAATTCCTGCACCAAAAATGTCTTCATCTATTTATTCTGTATGAGTGATGAAGCCTGATTCCCATGTAACAATTCAGATTGCTCAGAAACCCAACCAGGCCTTAAATAAACCAGCTGAAGCATAAAAGACTGGTTTTCCATTATGTTTCTTTTTCTAGAAATTGGATCATTTAGGAATTTGGTTTCAATATTAGGGAGAATCTCTGTTTGAAACTAATGGATTTCTGCTGACTCATCTGTACAACAACAGATTTGAAAATGCTGCTCATCCTACTACTGGGCTTATGTAACTCCTGCCTCCTGACTAGTGGCGAAGCAAATCCAGGTTATACTAACACAAATCACACAACCTCATACAGCTGAGATACAACAAATGGAGCATGACAATACAGTATCAAAAGAAGTTTTGTCTGCAGAGCAACAAAGTTTTTCACTCAGTTTTGCAGGACTTACTAGTTGCAAAAAGTAGTTTCCTCGGGTCCTGAAAAACAGACAAGTAAAACCAAATAATATCAACATATGGTATTTTATATCTATAATACGAATAATTTTACAATAATAAGTAGCCCATGAAGCTCACACATTTTAAGACATATGCAGTCCCTAAATCTGGAAGCAGGAATGGATTTGGTAACAGTTTAAATTGACTGCAATTCAACAAAAACTAAACCTTTAGTCTTTGCATTTCCCCAGCAAAGATAATTCAGATCTATAATCTGGATTCAGATAAATTTACAGATAATTGTTTTTAGAACTTTGGGAGAACAGAGTAAAGCAGAAGAGGCAAATGTTTTGAATTTAAATGTAAGACAAGAGGCAAGCATTTTATTGCCAGCTACATCACCAAGACATTCGCAGTGGACCCTAGTGAAGCAAGACAGAACACAAAGGATCTGACAGATGTTCCTGCGTCCTTCACCACATGTGAAAGGAAGAGTGAATACTTCAACATCAGGGAAACTGCCTCACTTTCCCTGATAAAAGCAGTGAAGACAAAACCTCTACTTCAAGAGGTTTTGTCTTCACTGCTTGGAAGACTTTTATTTAAACTTGCAGATAGATGTAGTGAGGGGAGATGAGAAGTTTTCATACAGGACAGGAAAAATGAAGTGACCCTTTTTCTGACCTGGTCTGCATCCAGATGTGTATACCAAGGTAGAGAGGACAAGAGCAGCATCTAGACTGTCCACCACAGTTTAAAAAGGGACATAAGTGAGATTCAAATACAAAGGTGCAAGAGATACTAAAGTACCTAGAATTCAGGAGTTTTGATCCTAGAGTTCCTAAAAAACTTGCTATCATCTCCATTTTCTATTGCAAAATTCCTAGGGCTGCTTAGTAGAGGCTTAGAACCCTGGCATCTTCTTGCCTGAGGTAAACTCCTGCTGATGTTTCTGATGAAGGGAAGGCTATCAGACCACTCCTAACACAAGCAGACACACAGTCAGCCCAGAAGCTCAGCACAATAGTTGGTGTTGGCATGTCTGTCTGCCATTGAATAGCCGGGTGATTAGATCATTCACCCAGGGAATGGAAGACCTTGGTTGCTGGTCCTTAGGAACCTGGACTGAGTCAAGCTCTGTTTTTCCAGGAAATGATGCAGCTGGGATAGGGTCATTCTAAGTATTTCCTAATGAAACTGGATAAAAAGAAATGCAGACCAGGGACTAGAATGAACAGAAACAAGAGAGAACTTGACTGTAGCCCAAGAAGAAAGGGTGTTGGACTCTGGTCTTGCTTCTAAAATCAGCAAATATCTCTCCATTGCCAAATACACAAGTATATACAATATACCTGACCAAGGGACTACGAATCTGATATTCCTGCAAGACATCTGCACCTCTGTCAGACAAGGCACACAAAATCAAGTATTTCGCAAGCAGAAATCAGTTCATGTAGATAACTAACTCCATTCTTAGCATATATACTCATACATGCATTCACTGCAGCTGAAAAATGCAAAATCAATTTCAAATCTCACTGTATTCTAAACAATGGAAATACTGAACAAATTTGCCCAAAAAGCAGCAGAAATGTCTTAACCAGGCCCACCCAAGGAACAGAGAGAAGCAAAAGAGCAGCAAGAGAACAAGGTGCAAGGTGAAAAGTTTAGATGATTGCATTCTCCATCTAATAATCAAACAGGACAGAACCTTGCTGGCTTTAATACATGCTTTGTCCAGACAAAGAAATAAAATCCACAGGAATCTACACAAGGGTTGAGTTTTCAGTGCATGAAACAGGAGCACTGTACAGATCACACAATGGCATTATATATGCAAATATTCATATATTTAAATGATATTCTTAAAACCAAAATATGAAAGGAGAGCTGGCTCACCTCACCACGATAGTTTGCTGCATTTAGGGTCACAAATTCTTCATTGTAATTCTCAGAGAAGTTAAGAGCATTCACCAGATGAGCAGCAACATGTAAGACTAAAAAAACCAAAAAAACTGAGTAAATCTGTAAACAAGTGCTGGATGTTCCCTGTGGCCACCCAGATGCCAAGATATAATCACATCACCTGCCTGAGATATACCAGGGACTCAGGAATTCTTAATTGTTCTTCAAGAGTAAATCAGCTTATAAATATTAATGACAGAAGGCTGTACATATTTTAGGAATTTTTTTTAACACTACAGTGATGATTTCTGTACTGCAATGCTTCAGCTGAGCCACAACATTCAAAGGTGTCCAGCCAAGAATATTTCCTCTTCACCAAAGAGAAAACAGGGTAGCCGCCTCCACTGCTCCCTCCTCTGCAGGTAAGTCTGTAGTACCCTGATTTTTTCACTCAAATTCCTTAGGTACAATGAGGGTTCACTTGCAAGGGCAGATTTTGACCTGGTCTCACATACCTACCTTCTAAGAAACTGGCATTTTAAGGAAAGGCTTGACATTAGAATGTACACCTATGTGTTTAAAGCAAAAAATGAACCAAAACCCACACACATTCGAGAAAGCATTTACAATCTAAGACGAGCAAGCACAGAGCAAGACTACCCCCAAATGTACTGCAGCAGAAAAACCACAAAGCGCTGCACCAACATGCTTCCAAAAGATGCTGATCCTCAGCACAGTGAGATCTCACCTGAAAAGATGCATATCGTAACACCACATGTCACATGGAAAGTTTTGCTTTTATCTAGCAGCCTTCTGGTTTTCTTGCTGGCAACCTAGTAAGAGAAGAATACAAGTACTCTCTTCCAAAACAAAGCAAAGAAAAAAATACTAACAGCAACTGTGGTGACATAATAGCAACTTCATTAGTTTTAACACCTTTGCAAGCTTAGTACCTAAATGTAAAAACTACTGGATTATGCCAAAGAGACAGTTTTGAGGACTTAATGAAGAAATCACACAGATATCAAGAGTACATAATGTACCTCCTGGCCTTAATATTTAGGAATTCTAGCATTACTTGTGAAGGCATCACTGACTCTTTTATAAGCAAGATCAAAAGGAATGGTCTATTTGCATACATATGTGCATCTACAGGCATCAAATCTTATACATATTGTCACATGATTAACAGAAGTCACAGGTTTAATTTGCAACCATCTAGCAAACACAAATATTCCTCAAAAGCATTATTTGTACTTCTGTAAAAGCAACTGGTGAATCACAAAGAAGTTAAACATTGTCTCTCCCATGATAACAAATGTATCAGGTTGGGTATTTTTATAGAACATTCTATCACCTCCAGTAGGACACTTGTGGTCATGCAGAGACAAATTTGGGTTTACTCCATTGAATTCTATCAGAAAGCACTTGAGAGGACACATTTATCTCTAATATAAGAGTTTGGAAAGACAGAGGAGAATTTATCTGGCTACAGCTCCACAGCAACTCCCCATCCTTCAAAACTGCACTGAAGAAACCACCCTCTAGACAGGTCAAATCAAACCAGACAAAGCCTGTCTTCAAAGCAGTCTTGATGTCTGATCCTTGCACCATGCAAGCACATAGCACAGAACAAACCGGGATGTAACAGATTCTTTTTCTATTGTTTTTATACCAGTGCCCTCTTCTCAAGCACTGCATTCCAAGGACAGCACTCACCTTCTGGGATCCCCGCAGGAAGGCCAAGAGAACACGGCACATGGGGAGCAGGACCAGGCAGCAGTTGAGATTGAGGACAGACGCCGAAGCTCTGCTAATACACAATCCTAGCTGAACAAACATTGTAAGAGTTAGATTATGGGCAGAAAGGAACGGTATGTGCATCAGTCTTGTCTCTCTTTTACTCTGCTGTGAAACCAAATGGTTCCCATGCTCCCTGACTCATCAAAATAGCGAAGTTTCATGATGTGCTGGAGAAACCACAGCACACACAGCATGCTATCCTGTCCTCACAGGGAAGGAAACAGTTCTCACCTTGGCATCAAGAAGTTATTAAAAATTAACTTTGTCAACAATAAATTACAATTTTCTACTGGAAGATCCAATATCCTCATCAGTGCTCAAAGTCACATGGAACAAAACATTTGACACAACAGTAAGTGTCCACTGAAAAATGACCTGAAAGCTTCAACAGACATAACTAAACAAAAAGAGTGATAAATACTATGATGACACTAGACAGCCCCTCGAGTGTAATGATTTTTCTGTTAAGCCACAAAATGATGTAAAAAAATATTGATTCAGTCAAACTGAAATGGTCATAATGTTTCAAGGACTGTTGTAGAATTGCCACGAAACTCCTCATGCATTCACATTATGCAATGCCATATTTGGACATTAAGAAAGTAGGTTTTCTTCAGTTTAACTGCTCAATAGCTGGGAACTGTAATGAAATCTAATTGCACTAATGTTTTCACTGATATATTTGGAACTTACATAATTAGTACAAAAACACTTGTCAAATAAATGAACAAAGCACACATTCATGTCATAAAACTGTATTTTTAATCTTATTATCTCATTCATTTATGATTTTAAAAAGTTAGCAAAATGCCATTGTTCTCCTAGTTACTAGGTTGAATTACCATTTTACTAGCTTATATAAAAGATGCTTTTAGACTGTCAACAGATTTCTGGAAGGATATTTCTTATACTGTTCTCAAAACCCCAAGTATTTCAACTCCTGAATAAATTAGTAAAAAAATATTATATTAACGATAACTCAAATGCTGCAGGAGCATGTGAATGAGGTGAACAGTACAAATTATCTAACAAAAATTACTTAAGGTTTATTACCTTTTTCAAAATTAAACTACGTAAAAAAATGAGCATGTTTTACTTTCTCCGACAAAAAAAAAATTAATCTGTGCACCATCTATTATATTCTTATCTTTGTTATCAAGAAGAAACAAAATTTACAGACTTATGTTTGTGTCACAGAAATGGATGAATACATAAGCTAGTAAAAACAAAGAGAATAACTGCATTTCAGATATCTTGCAAGATCTGAAGCACAACAGCATGAAAGGGTTTCTAAACACCAGTACCATAAAGCATTACAACTTCCTGCCCTCCCAGTTAGCAACATCCATGTACCTCACCTGCTCTGCAGCACACCTGGGCACAGCACCAGGAAGCAAACAGAAGGTAAAGATGTTCAATCTACCTGAAGAACAAAGCTCTGCACCTAAATCCTTTTTCTCTTCCAGCTACTTTACATTATTTAGTTAGACCTGAGTGCTAGGGACCTCCTCACTAGACTCTACCAGCTCCCAGAGAACAGAGCAGTCACAACAGGACCCTCTCTCAAAAGCTGCCCATGAGAAGTAGGAGCAATTACCCCACAAAATGTGTTCTACCTTGTTCTCTGCCACGTAAATGTGGGATTTCCAGAAAAAAAATCCCAGGAACAGATCATCTCCAACCTACTGAATGATAAGAAATAAGACTAAAATGAGCCATGTCACTTAGTTCTTTCCCACTCTCCAGATGTCCTCCAGTATTTCTTCCAACGTACTGTTAGTCCTCTTTTTACTTACGTAAAACCTTCAATTTTATCTGTTGCTTCACTCCCTGATCACTTGCACAATGAGATTTTTTTTCCTGCTACTCCTTCCTCATAAGCCATGTTCTTCAGACCTTAGGCCATCCTCTCCTCCCCACTCTAGACTCTCCCAACTGGAAATAACCCTTGAACAGACTGGACTTAATGAAAAGAAAAATGTCTCCATAATGCACTGTTTGCATATACAACACTGTCTCTATTTTATTTAAATCCTCTAAAGTGAAGCTAAAAATGAGCTATACACCTCATTGAAGCAATAACTTCAGAAACATGGTCATTAAAACATATAGGAACTTTTATTGGGGCTTACTGATCTGCTACAGTAGTGCAGTGATTAAATGGGTATGACTTGAAAAACTCAAGAATTATGTTAGAAATAATGTAATGCAAACTTCAGAAGCAAACTGAATCATTTTTCTAGCTGTTGATTAATACACAAAATCTGAAAAAGTAGCAATACCATTAATGAGCAGTCTGAAAATTTTAATAACTTCTGTTGTATGGCCTACATGATACATCACTACTTTCCCAAGAATTTACGTTGTCTTTTAGTTTAAATATAAACCAGGCATGACATCAATTATCCAAGACTTTCTTTACCAAGCACGACAATTTTTCTAACAAAGCTTTAACAAAATAATAGTTTGGTCTAGAAGAGAATCAATCCCACACCGAATAGTGTTAAATAAATGAAATAACTCCTGTGAGAGTTCAAGAAGCATTTGGACAACACTCTCAGGCACATGGTGTGATTCTTTGGATGTCCTGCTCAGGGCCAGGAGTTGGACTAATGGGTCCCTTCCAGCTCAGCATAGTCTGGGATTATAAGTAAAGTGCCAAACAATTTAACAAGTATGAATCACAAATGATGTGCAGAAAAAGCTATCCTACTAACCCTCCTTTGTTTTTCTCCAGTATTTAATAAAGAACAAATATTCATTCATAATGCATTCACTATGGAAGAATGTCCTTACATTCATTATAATTCAATGCTATCAACACCTGTACATACAAGAAAAAAAAAGAAAAGAAAATAAGAAAAGAGAGACCAGCAAGCAACTTCTTACAGCATTTTCAAAGAAGTATGATTCAAATATTAAAATATTGTTACCAATGGTTCATGTAAGGTTTTATTCTGAAGAAATAAAGTTCAGCAATATTTCCTGCAACAAGCCCATGACTGATTTGCAAACAATGGGACATACATTTAGAAATTCTTAAAATCAAAATTCAGGCAAGAAGAAAAAGAGTTTAAGTTCGCTCTTGATATCTAGCCAAAAGCTAAAAATATTACCATGAAACTAATTCTTTCCAAATGGTTTCCAAGAGATCTCTTTCTTAACTTCCTTTGCATTGCCTGGGAGGCATAGTAACAAATTAACACAGTACATTGTTGGACTTTTAAACAATAGTAGAATAAAGGATGATTTTTGCTCCAAGGCAACTCACTGGGTCTAGAAGGGAATATATACCCTTATTAAGTAGTTAAGAAATGAGAAAAACATAATCCTATTTTCTTCCTGAAGTTTTTACTGTCTTAAAAAAAAATGTTATTGCATGTTACTAGCATGTGAAATTTCTGCAGGACCAAAAATAAAAAAAAAAAAACCACACACAAAATCTCTGGTATACTGATATCTGATTTCATGGAGGGGCAAAGAATCATAAAGAAACTAAAGGATTACTCCAATTTACAGACTAAATCTGTGGCAAAAATAGTAGGGAACTGGACCATCCACAAACTCAAATCCTAAAACTAGGTTAGATTTTTCCTCCAGACAAGCATAAAGGAATTGCCACCTTCTCCAAAGCAGCATAAAAGAGCTCCAGAATGTAAATTCTCTAGTTATCCCTGTCTGATGTATAGTCCACAGAAATCCAGATGGACTCCTGGCTGCGCTCATACAACATACAAAGTAGGACAGAAAAGTGAAGAGTCAGTTCTCATTGTATCTTGCTGCCAGCAAGACTGAAAATGAGAAAATTAGCTTCCTCTGCTAGGAAAAGGAGCTTTCTCTGTTAGGCAAATGATTTCAATATTAGATTGAGGGCTGAAGTACCTTACTGTGTACCCCAAAATTCCCCAAAGTTCATAATTTATAAATACAGAGATTTATGTTACCTGCAACTGCCATGAACAGAAATCTGATATTTTATACACAGTTGTAAAATTAAGATTTCAACAATATTGTCCTATCTCACCTTTTAAGTCAATCTTTTATCAAAAAAATGTTACAATAATGCAAACTCTTCCACAGCTGAGAGTGATGTGATTCTGTTTCTCAAGACTTCACCACCTACAAGCAACCACCCTGAACAGGTCATGGTGCAGTAGAGACACCACACTAGATGCTGTCTCTTAGAGCCTTTCTTTGAAATGTTTCAATCTTCTTTGGTTCAGGGCACCCTGAAAGGTTCTGGCAAGACTCACAAGCCACATGTTGCTCTGTAGACACAGGTGACAGACCACCTCCCCAGATCAGTACTAGCGCAGATAAAGTTGGTAATTTTCCTAGGTGGAACAAACTGTGCTGCACAACATGACTCCTTTCGACCCAGCTTCCTTTTCTTCATAGAGTACTCCTTCTCTTGAGTAACAGAGCACTGATAACCTAAGATGAAGGACAGTACTGAACTGTATGTACAGCAATTATTCCCCTTACGCCTGTCAAATCTGGCTGGAGATCTAGCAATAGAAACATGAAGCAACAGAAAAGAAGGAAAATGTGAGTGTAGGGGAAACCTACCTACTAGAACATGTGAAAACATCTACGAAAGTTTGACTTAGTTTTGCTCCTGAAGAACATTTCAAAGAAGGACTCTGTAAATCCCAATCTCATGTACTGCAACTCTTTAAAAATTATTTTAAGTGATGTAATATTTTTAAATATGTATGGGGTACCTTCCCTGCACTGCTGTGAATCAGTAGTCTCCCTGTTCACTTGTAACTCATCACACAGGCATTCTTTGAAGGTTTTCCATCTCTTCTTGTCTACAAGTTTAGGTCATGTTTTTATAAGCAGTGCCTTTGTGTAGGATGTACTCCTTCTTCTGCTTAAATCAGTCATTCAAACTGAAGAAAACAACTAACTTTATCGTGAGTGCAGTAAGAGCTTCCAAATTCTCTGATAATCTCCAAGCAAAGGATCAAGATACACAACTCTCCTCAATACCAAAATGTGGGGGGTAAGCAGATTCCAGTGTGGTTGCACAACGACCAATGAAAGTGGAATTTGGTCTCAATTAGTGAAATCTCTGTCGTTACGATAAACTAGCAAGGAGAGACATAAAAGTTACTGGAACATATTCCAAGCAGTGAATAAAGGTGACAAATGTTATCCACAATACTGCACAATAAAAAGGCAGCAAATGTACAGATAAAAAAGCGAGGCAGCACTTTTCAGCCCCATTTTCAGTTATTCAGTCTTTTCCCAAAGAGATCCTTCTGACAATGCATTTTCTTCACTTTGGTCTGAAACCCAGAAGCTTATCTCTTGCATTAACATTTGACTGCATTACAGCTATTTGAGCAGGGACAAGAGAGGGAATGGGGAAAGAGAGACCCTTCATGCCATGACAAAACGAGCTCAAAGCTCTTTCTGCTCACAGGGAACTCAAGCAACAGGAAACAAGCATTTCATTCAATACTGTTAAAGCGAGACTTGAGTTCTATAAGGCCAGCACCAAATTTATGGCTGATTTTTTTCGACCAGGCACAATCAAACTTGTTAGACAAAAATACAGCCAAGCTAGACTAAAGAGAGAAATTCTGAAGTCTGTGAAGAAATCAATCTGGACAATTTCACTGACTAAGTGGACCAAAATCTCCAACAATAAAGATTTTGGAGTCAAGTAATTTAAGACTCTCCCCTTCTGTAACTTATGCCTACTAGACATTATAGCATCTATCATGAACACAAAGATGAGAATATTTCCTTCCTCTCTGCCAAACTCTTTTATAAGAAATTCATGTCTGTTGGGGATTTGTTCATGGGCTTCTCTTCCTTAAGCAATGTAAGACCACAAGTCAACACCTATGAAATCATTAAAAAATTAGGTTCTTTATCTGAAATTTATCTGAAAATCGGTGTTTTCAAACCAGTGTGAATGAATGCATTCATACAGTAAGACTATGACCTGCAGTGTTCCAAGGAATTCAGTATTCAAAGAGATGGTTCATCAAAGCAAAAGTACTGGAAAGGGATTTACATCCACTAGGTTCCAGTGAACTTTCACTGCAAGTATTATGTAATCACAGAATTATTCTGGTTGGAAGGGACCTCAGGATGTCTCTGCTCAAACCTCCTGTTCTAAGCATGTTCAACACTAAACTCAGATTAAGTTTCCTCAGGGTTTTTTGCCCAATTAGGTTTTGAAAACTCCCAGGGATAGAGATTGCACAGTGAAGACTTCATGATTTCATCAACAGAAGTCAAACTGAGCAAAGCAGAGATGTTTGACACAAAATAACACTAAGTTTCCTGGTACATAAAGATTGATCAACTTCCTCCTACCATGTTACTGCCTTCTACTTATCTGCTCTCTTGGCACTTCCACCACGCTCTTGATGCCTTTTCACATGTGTAGAATTCAGGAAGATTGTTATTGAAAGAATGAGTGAGAGTTAAGTACCTAAAAAATTTGAAATCCTGTCCTAAAGTATCTTGTTCAACATCACAGAAAAGGTAATTGGAAAAGAATAAACCTGAGCCTTATTCTTCAGTAGACAGCTGAAGGGAAGTAAATCAATTCAGGGACCACTGAACAAAAGACCAACACCAATCTTTCTCTTCCTTCACCTCAGAGATGGCATAAAAATATGGCACAGTTGAATATACCCAGAATATTCAGTCCAAGATCTCATTTCATATCACACTCTGATTTCCTCCAGCAACTCTTCTTGTTCTCTGTTACTTGGTAAACAACAAAATGACCTGTGGTAAATTTTTCCATGCTGCAAGTGCAGTTGTTCTTAAGGCGATTATAGCCTATTGTAGCATACTAAGAAAGAAAAAAAGCCAACTCCTTAGGAAACCTCACTGAAAAAAACAGTAGCTTTTTTAATTCAAAAAGTGCCACTCCTTTTGGGCAACTTTGTTAGCTCTCTGGAAAAAGGAACCAGTTGTCATGGAAGTATCCATTAAAGAGTTCAATCTGTTCACACAAAAAATATCAACTGTTGAATTAAAAATGAAGAATTTAATTTAAATCTCAAAATCTTCAGACACCAAGAAATGGCACAGAGGCTCTGCAAACCACTTACACAGGCATAGAACAGAGAGGATACTGGTTATACAGATGGGCCATGGGTCAGTGACTATATAAACCAATAGAGAAAAAGAAGAGGGGTAAAAATCCCTGTGCAGCTGTAGTGTTGCTTATGCCATCTCCTGAAGAAACCAAATTGGGTTCAGTTTTCCCAGCCCTTGCAAAACAATCTCTATGATTAATACACATACACGGATATAATGAAGAGAAGGGAAAAAGCTTAATTCACAGAATTACTCGGTTGGAAGAGACCTTAAAGATCATCGAGTCCAACACAAATTTTAGGGTCCAAACCCTAACTTTGAAGATATTTAGATGAGCTGGAAAAAGTGAATTGCAAGTACATTTTACAGTCTTTAGTATTTTCAAAATGTTAAAATTAGTTTTATAACTTTGATGAAAAGTATCTTTTAGGCTTAGCTCTTCATTTTTAACCTTAATTTAGAAGTCCCTAAATTCTGTACTACTTTTTCCCACAGTGGCAGACACAATTATACAAACTTAAAAGGATGACCTCCTAGTCCTCATCTCCTGACCAATCTGTTGTCTGAGTCACCTCCCAGGTTCTGAACACACATGAGGTTATTTTGCAAGTGTCTTCCACTTTAAAGTATAAGAAAACCAAAAAAAATCCCAACCAGATGATGAGCTGGTATGAGGCATATGAATAATCTGAATTGAGAGAAACTTGCTGATTGATACCAGATGAAAACCCAGTCCAACATGCTACCCAAAAACATTTGCTTTACAAACAACCCATTTGCTCCACCAGGAACAAACACAGCTTTCAAATGGATACACTGGGATGCAAAGCCACTAGAAACCAAGGTGAAATTAAACACATTTTCATGCTTTTTCTGTCAAGAAGGTCACCACCATGAAGGGTTTAATTACTGTCATTCCCTTCTTTTTTGCACTATCTTTGCTGAGATTCACTCTTGAACATATCTGAATCAACCATAAGAAGGAAAAAAAAAGGAGAAAAATGTATAAACTCAACTTATTTCCAAGCAAGATCACAAAACTTTATGGTACTGACTAGTTATGAAAATATCAGCCACGTGAAACTATATACCCTGGATTTACTGAAAATAAACCCCAGAGGCTCTACAGCAGATTAGGATGTGTATCATCTATGTTTAATCCCATGTCAACTTTGTATTGAAATGCATTCCTGAGTATGACATAGTGTTACAAAGCATCATGTTATTCAGACACTTTTTCCCGGATTGTCAAATTCTGAGCAACCCATGGGCATTTTCCAGAAAGATGTTAACCCTTACTTTATGCCTTTTTAGACATAAGGTTTTTTTGAAATTACTACAATGGGTAATTTCCCAAGGCAGGCTGGTCTGCAAAGTATCTTTTTGTGTTCATCTGCTTTTTTGTGTTCATCTGCCCTTGCTAAATCAAAACATCTGAATCTTCATTAAACCACCCAGAATCAAAGAACTTACTATTAGAAAACAAAAGTGAAGTTACACGCATTACAGTGAATTCACACAGAACAGAGGATCCATGAGAATGACAAAGGCTGAAAAGAACTAAGACTTATTAAAAGAAGTCACTCAGCAAGCATGTATATTACAATAACTGGATTGGAAAGAATTTGCCAACAAGAGTCCATAGCTTGCTAAATGCGCTGATGACGAAAAGTGGAGCTCCAGTCATTTGTTGAGCATATCTGTGTTCCTGTGAGCTTGTCTGCTGCTGGGAACACCGGGAGGGTAGAGAAGAGGGAAAAGAATAGCAGTCCCACTCTTGACTGGCTCTTTTTCTTCTTAACAGTGTTCACTTTCTACTCCTAAACAACTGTCAGAAGTATCCCAGTAAATTCTTACCTGATCTTTCCCCACTTTGAAAAGTTAACAGGTAGTTTGTGTCATTTTTGATTAGCAAATTCATTCTGCCCCTTATCCCATCCTCGAACATCCCAATTTTCAGGGCAAAAAGTAATGTCCAGGTCACTCACCCCTAACATCTGATGCAAATAATAATACTGTAGCCCTTGATTATAAAGCAGGAAGGTTTTCCCGAAGAGCCATACATTGAGGGAGAGCCAGAAAAACTGAAATGAAACAGAAACAAGAGATTGTAAATGAAAGTTACGAGTGCAAACTTCTCAGTGTTCATTTCATTTCATTCATAAAACTCATAGGTAGGTCTGTAGCTTCATAAACATACATAAATGGAATGGAAAAGCAAACTTCATGCACATATTATGCTTTAAAGTATTAAAAGGAAGTGCCCCTATGTGGGAAATTTTCACTTTCATTGAACTTCACGAAACTTTTTGTGTCTTACAACCGAGAGCTGGCAAAGCACTCCCATACAAGACACTATCCCAAATCTTTAGCTGGACGTTGCATTTAAGAGGCTCAAAGAATAAAAAAAACAACAAAGAGACAAAGGCAGGTAAAGAACTTGACCTCCAAGAAGCTGCACCTTCTCCCCCAAACTTTCCCAAACCGAGCCTAACAAAGAGCAAGCACACGCACAGCGTGTGCCAGCCGGGCAGGGCACGGAGGCGGGCACTGTCCCGGGCCATGGCACCCTCCTGCATCCATTCCTGCCAGCCGCGCACCGGGACGCGCTCGGAGCACATCCCGCCCACTCGTCCGAGCCGGGGCACCCGCACGGCGTCCTGTCCCGCACGCTGGGAGCCCTGCCCCGCACGGCGGCACCCCTGCCCCGCACGCCGGGACGCGGTGCCCCTCACGGCAGGACGCGGTGCCCCGGCTTCCCGACTCTCGGGGCAGCCCCCGCCGCCTGCCAGCACCCACCGGCCCCTCCTGAGCCTCCCCGCGGGTCAGCCCCTCTGAGGGGAGCCCCCGGGGCCGCCCCTACCAGGAAGAGGTGCTTGCTCCCCTCGTTGGCCAGCCAGCTCCTCCAGGACAGCGCCATGGTGCGGGACGCCCGCGGGGCAGGACGGAGGGTGGGGGGCGCCGGGCGAGCCCTCCTTTTCAGCCGGGCCGAGCCGCCCTCCCCTCTCCCCACCCCTCACCCCCCGCCCTGGCTTCCGGCCGCCGGGGCGTAGCGCTCCGGCCCCGCCGCGCCGCCGGCCGGGCTCCGGCTCCGTGCCGCCGGCGCTGCCCCTTTGTCCGCGGCCCAGCGCCCCGGGAGCCGCAGCGCAGCCGCCCGGCACGGAGCGGGGCTCTCCGGAGGGCACCCTGCCCTGCCCTGCCCTGCTCCGCCGCGCTGCGGTGCCATGCGGCCCCTTCCTCGCGTCCCCCACCTTGGGAAGAGCGTTTCCCCGCGGAGAATCCCGTCCGTGGGGATCCCACTTGCCCGACCTCCCCACCATCCCCGGCCGGGCTGAAGTGTGATCCAGAAAGCAGGAGGGAGCGGGGGAGCAGCCGTGCATGCAACTGCTCTGCAGTTCGCGTGAAACAAAGAGGCTGTCCAAGAAACTACTGTTCGGGCAGCACGTGAGGCCCTCGAACGCCGGGAAGGGACAGGATGTGTTATTGATTTGAAGTCTGATCCTGCCCCATCAGGTGTCCCTGGAGGACATTGGAAGAGGCCGCCTCCTGTGTGCCGGCACAGCGGGCGTGCAGTCGAACAGCAGCCAAGAAAAAGGGACTATGGGCAATTCCACGTTCAGTGTCCAGAGTCTGGGTTGCTGTGCTTTGCTGGCAGTCTGCTTTTACTGGTGGCCTTCGTGTTTAGTTTGGGTTTGGGGAGGGTGGGGTTTGAAGGAAAGTTGCACCGGATACTGATTTTTATATTAAGAAAAATCTTTTGAAAACAATGCTTGTTGCTAGCAGCTTTCCAACAGGACAGCCTTGTGAGACAGCAGAACAGTTCCACCAGGCGTTGTGGTGCACAGGCTGCTCCTTGAGATAGCAGTGGCAGCTGACAGCAGAGTAAGGATGGTGTTCTGGGAGATGCCAAGTCCGAGGAGCAGTGCTGAATAGTCTCGTCCAGTCCAGTTTGAGCTGGCTGCCTTTCTCTTATTATCTGGCAAGTTGCCATTTTTTGAGTTCCTTATGAGCCACACACGGAAGATCCAGAAGAATGGAAGAGGGCAAAGTGCCATCTTTCTGCAGTTTGTATCAAGGTGGAGGGCATGTCTGACCCCTGTGTGGTCCTGGGAATAAAGAGTACAAGTCAGGCATGGCACCTTTGAAACTCAGTTGAGAGTGTTTTTGCTGCAGCAGGAGCTCTGTCTCAACAAGTGGCAGGATTTCTGTAGCTGTATGAAGTTTTAGGTGAAGTTCTGAAGTAGCAGGGTTACATCCATTTTATATCATCTAATGACACTAAAAGGAGAACTAGTGAAAGGAAAAAATACATATTTTGAATTTAAGACTCAACAGAACCATAGTTTGATGCCAAAGCAGCCCTAACAGCAGAAGAAATAGCACAGTTTATTTATCTTTTTTGCTATTTCCATTCACTTTTTTGCTTCTGTTGTAATGCTTAGGAAAATGGAAACTGCTTACAGAGAAGCAGATGATGAATCTTCTCTGGACAAGCATGTCAAAGATGGGATGGCACAAAATAAAACTTGAAGGATATGTCAGGCCTAACAACATGGGGCTTTGGCTGAAACAGAAGCCGAGGAGACAAAAACAAAACCAAAATAATTTGTCCATGCTATATTTGCACATTAGAAATGGCTCTGAAAAATCAGCTTATGCAGGATCTGCCTGCCCACTCACTTGAAGCTGATGACTCATGAGGCAGCACTTCACTGCCTACTTACAAAGTGCCATAAGGCATGTGGAGCACATGACTCATGCTCGTCCACATTGGATCCTACATCATATCTAGGTACAGAGCAAGGAATGTGTTTTTGTAGAAAACACCCCTATTTTCCTTCTCCCTGGAAACAGCCAAGGCCTTTGAATCATTAGCCCAACAAGAGTCTGGCAAAGACCAGTGCCACACTAATACATGTACATTCTTCCTCCACAGAAAAGGCTGAGTTCATTTTCAGTTTTAAGCCATCCCAGATGTATATGAGTGTGTATTTTAAACTTAAGAGCACTCAGAAATGACCGCAGACACTAGTTATAATCCAAATAATTAGAAAAGTTATACTATGACTCTCAAACCATTTGAGCTCATCTCTGCTTTGTGGGCATTCATCCTCTGATTATGATGGTCTCTGTGCTTTGTCCTACCAACTGGACAGAGCAGTGCCAAGGTAGGCAGCCCTCTGTACTGAGTTTGTGTGGCCAGGTGTTGGTAGGGAGGAGGCCTACAGGGGTGTCTTCTGTGAGAAGCTGCTGGAAGCTTCCTTTATGTCCCATGAGGCTACAAGACAGATGTGCCACTGGCCAAGGCTAGGCCAGTCAGAAATGGATGTAACGACTCTGTGATAACATATTGAGGAAGAAGAAAAAAAAAGTTATTGTGCAGATGTAACTGGGGCCAGAGAGGAGCAGGGTGAGAATATGTGAGTGGAGCAGCCCTGCAGCCCCCAAAGTCAGAATGAGGGGCAGGAGGTGCTCCAGGTGCCAGAGCTGGGATTCCCCTGCAGCCCCTGGTGCAGGTCGTGGTGAGGCAGCTGTACCCCTGCAGCCCATGGAGGACCACAGGGATGCAGAGATCCACCTGGAGCCCAGGGAGGAGACCCATGCTGGAGCAGGTGGAAGCCAGAGAAGAGGCTGTGAACCCATGGAAGAGCCATAGTAGAGCAGGCTTCTGGCAGGGAGAGAGGCATACCCATGGAGAGAGGTGCCCGTTCTGGAGCAGGTTTCCTGGTAGGGCTGGTGACTTCATGGGGGACCCGTGCTGGAGCAGCCTGTCCTTGAAGGAGTGCACGACAAGAAAGAGTGACCACATTGTAGCAGTTTGTGGAGAACTGCTCTTGGATGGTTGCTTCTCATTGGAAAAGTTCATGGAGAACTGTCTGCCATGGGAGGGACCCCATGCTGGAGCAGGTGAAGGACTCCTCTCCCTGAGCAGAGACATAATGACCATAACCTCCTTTCGCCATCTCCCTGCACCACTGGAGATAAAGCTGGGAAGGAGGGAGGGATGAGAGGAAGATATTTTTAAAATCTTGTTTTACTTTTCATTGTCCTACTCTGATTTTGTTAGTAATAAATTCATTTAATCACCCCTATTCCAGTCTGTTTTGCCTATGGCAGTATTTAGTTAGTGATCTCTCCCAGTCCTTATCTCTACCCATGAACCCTTTGTTTTATTTTCTCTCCCCTGTCCAGCTGCAGAGAGGAATGATAGAGAGGCTTTGGTGGGTGCCTGGGGTCCAGCCAAGGACCACCCACTGCACCATTCTAGAGACTGAACATACAGTGTCTCTGATAATGTTTCTTCTACTGCATCAGCCAAGTCAACTTCCAGGCCTAATTCCCATCAACATCCTCTACACTCAAATCTACTCTCCTGAAGTGTATTTGGGTACTTTATAACAAACACTTCACTGAATGTTGTAGTCAATGTTACAGACATGGCTTGTAAGTTTTCTTGTGCTGGAATTCTGCTTGTGTAACTGAGAGTCATCCAGAGTCAAATCACCTAAGCTCCCAGGTGTCTCCAGCTGTCAGCATGTCATGACCATCCTGCAAGTGCCTGCAGTGATGGCACGTGTTGTTATGAGCACAACACTCTGTTCTTCCGGTCTGGGGAGCGATCCAGGCACCTCATCTTCTGCTCTGTTGCAGTCTGGATTTAGGCAGACAGGCCCTAAATTCTACATGCATCCCTAAGGGCATTTGTCCCCTACACCTTCTCAGAATATTTACCCTTAGCGCTGAGAACATGGGAGGAGAAGAAAATGTTGGCACTGACTTTATTACAGAGAACAGGAAAAATGCAGCTTCTGCATAACAGCTGAGTGATTACAGTGTTTGCCCAGTAGTGGGAGAGCTGGATCTTTCTCAAAGAACTGAAGCCATTGCATTCACATCCTAGGAAAGTTTTCCAACCACTGCTTTTCACTGGGGTCAGAGAAGGAAACAATCCCCAAGTGAGCCACTGTGCTGCCAGGAACGCAAGAGAAGGAGGTCAGAGAGAAAATCAGAAAGCGACGCTGGCCAAGTGGCAACAGCACACTAAGGAAGAGAGAAGATCATCTAGGAAGACGAGACTTGGGATGCCAGTTCATTTATTTTTTCCATTGCAAAAAAAAATGCAGAACCAGTTTCAAAATTCAACATGTTTATGAGAAAACTGAAATCAGAAGAAAATCCAGAAATAGAAAGCTTTTCCCACAAATGAACTTGTGTTTCTTGGAAACTTTCTCTTTTAACTTAAGCCGCATGCTATTTACCTTTATAATTTTTCCTTTAACTCTAGCATTCAGTCACAACATAAGGGTAAAATAGCAATCAAAGTACATGTCACTGTGAGGATCTGTGCCATGTGAGTAATATCCTGTGCAATGGCATATGGCTTTTATGACAATACATGTTGTATCATTTCTTTCCCTTTTTGAAACTGGATCTTTACATTTACTGCATGCCATAAGATCAGCTTGCTTTCTAGTATGCTCCGAGATGGATTTGGAGGCCTCCCTGAGGTGAAATTCTTCTCCAGGTTTGGGCAGTAGCCAAGTTTATTAATTTCCATGAAGCTGAAGTGATTCATGGTAATGCATTATTTACTGCTGCTGTAGGGTGTAGGAGTATTAGGCATGGCCCAGGCCCACAATTTGCCTTATCAGAAAGGTAACATTTATGTCCAAAGGCTTCCAGTGAAAAATCAAACAACAACAGATGGAGTTCTGACCCTCAGTTCTTGTAGACATGGTAAAATGGGCAGCAAGGTGTGAGTCCTCTGATAGCATTTGCAGGCTGTGTTCTGCTTCCAGTGAACTCTCCTAAATAAAGCCATTCAGCCACTGCTCAGCTCCATTCTACAAATTCAACAATATTAGAGGAGGTCCTTCAGTATTTTGTTCTCAAATAACCTCCTCCACATTCCTGATTCAA